ATGCAAAATGTCAGCTTGTATCAATAAAGTGGTAAGTTGCTTTCAAACTCACTTATTATCAAGGCAGTCAAACCCCCCAGAATTCCACTCATAACATGCCAGTATGGCTTGCAATTGCATAGGTGATAACTGCAAACTAACCCCATTTACAAAGTATACAAGGTAAAAGTAGGACAATTTCAGAGGCTAGGCTGGGCAAAACTTCAGATATGGAGAGTAAAACAGACAGTGATACCCATTCAAAATGTATTTGTTCTTTTTCCTCCATTAGTTCTGGGACATTTGGTTATCTGTCTAGTTTGTGGTTTTGGTTTTGGGTTTTTTTTGTTTTGTTTTTTTTTTAACTTGGCGTGCAGTGAAAGATGCTTATTAGCAACCAAAAAAACAGGAGAACAATGGCAGGTAGGGTATGATCTTTCTGAGATTTTGCTTTCATAGCCACCACTTGCACTACATGATTTAATTTCTCCTCTGAACTGTCTTTTTCTTAAAAGATAAAAGCTCATTACAATATGTAAAATGTTTTGAAATCTTTCTCATCTGTATGAAAAGAGAGAAAAAATAGCAACAGCTCTGACCACTGAGTTAGTCATCCAGAGGTTCATTGCTGTCAAGGTATTTTGAAGAACTTGGCTAAGGTTCCAGTCAGTGTTTGCGTATTGAGAGGTGTGCTTCGGTCCCATAGCAGGAAGTAGCAGCAGAAATGGGCTTTTCTGAGGTGGTGTCTTGCGAAGAGGGAAGTCTCTCAAATCAGTTTCTCATTATAGTCTTAAATCAAGACATTCTCCAGTGCTGACACCCCCCCCCCCCCCCTGCTTCTCAGCCCAAACGATGCATGGGTATCCAGGATTTAACATGCATTAAAATGAAGGTAAGTTTTGAAAAAAGAATGTAAGTGGTACTGCTGTTTTGACTTTTCAGCTACCCAGACCTTTAAAATGTATTTGACCTATATTGTTTATTTCATTATTCCTTAATCAATTTCAACATTGTCTACTATCAAATATGGGGGCTTTGAAAAATATGAATTGACAGCCTTAAATGAAGCATAAGTTTTAGGTAGCCTTAATCAGACTAACAGTCCTAGTGATTCCCCTTAGCTAAGACTGTGCATCATAGCCACAAATAAAAGATTTCATTACTTAATGATTGAATTTACCCTCTAAATTAGGCACAATATATTTTTCAAGAGCACTTGAAATTGTCTTTTTGGACAATTTTACTTTTTTTTTTAAAGAAAATATTAAAAAATGCTGTTTCTTGAAATGTTAACTTTTGTATTTAGGAAGATACAGTAATCAGCCCCACAAACTTTTCAAAAATTACTTTTTCAGACACATGGACAGTGAACAGATCTACACTTCAGGAAATTCTCAGTTCTCCTGAATTTTTAAAATTAAATGGTTCATTTTCCCCACACTCAAAGTAACTGCTCTAAGTTTTGTGAAGATTGGTTTCACTACTTTCATTTTTCTTGCCCTGAGTGTCTGCTTCCCAGATTCACCAGGTGGGTTTTACACACCCTTACAATCTCTGCAGCTGCTGTGGTGTATGGGCTGGCAGCTCCCCTTATGTTACCTCCCCTTTCTCTTACTCCAGCAACCCACTATTGTAAAACCAGGCATTGGCTGTATTTGAAGCTCAGCAATGAAAGCAAGGTGATAAACGAAATGCCAAAAAAAAGGCAAAATATAGGTGTAGTACTGGTTTTAAATATTAAGAATACTTTCCTACTTAAAAAAAAAAAAATATTTTTTGACAGTTCCCTGTTTGGAAAGCATTTTTTTTCTTTTTTTTTTTTTATTATTTAGATTATTAAGATAATTTCTATCCCATTAGGTTAACTGGACTGTCTGTAAGTATATTTGGCTAGTGTGCATTTCTCCAGAGATAAAAGGACTAGAGGGCCTTTTTAAAAAAAATTGTCAGGCAGTGAATTTTATTTTGCACCTCATAGACAGAATTTCAGCACCATATGCTAACATAAAGCTCTTTGTAGCGCAGGATTAGAAAAACACAGTCCTGTTTGCGTACGTTTGAGAAGAAATGTTCTGTCTTTCTGCTCAGCTATGCTGGCATTAATGGAAATAAGCATTCTTTGACAAGTTGTGGTTCAAAAGCCTTTTACATACGGATGGCTTTTCGTTCCCTCCTGATCCCCTTGAGTGTCTTTATGTTGCTGTGCTTTTGCTTTGCTGTTTTCTGTGGACCAATTCATTGCATATAAAAATAAGAAATACCCTACGGGGTCAGCCCAGTGGTCCATCTGCTGTTCTGCCTGCAGCAGTGGCAATAGGAGGTGCTACTTAGATATAATCCACAACTTTGGCCACGTCCTGCAGCCCATTCTCCCAAGTATTCCCCCAGCATCTACAGCTGCTGAATTAGGGTTGTTAGAGGGTACATCCATCTCTAACACTTTTTTGTAGCTTTTCATAGACCCGCTTTCCACAAATTTGTCTAGTCTTATTCTCAGCCTGCTGACACTCTCTGCCACCACAGCGCCTGTGGGAGCAAGGTGCAGGAGTTCATTGCACACTGAGTGGAGAAGTGCCTCTCAGTGCTGTTCGAAAGGTACTCCTAGGAAGAAGTCACCTCCAGGAAACAGCAATGATCTCTCCTGAAATGCCTTTCTTTGACTCAAGTTGGTTGTTTTTTTCTAAGTTTATTCAGACTTACTTTAAAAAATCTTCCTTCTCTGTCTCTGTGTTTTCTTTCTCTAACTGAATGCGTCTATATTACCTCACAGATGATTTCTATTTTTGTTTCTAGCACCAAAAGTCGTTGCTACTTTAAGATTTATTTTGTTCCTTTTCCTGTTTCAGGTCCTCTTTTGTGACTCAAGTTGGTTGTTTTTTTCTAAGTTTATTCAGACTTACTTTAAAAAATCTTCCTTCTCTGTCTCTGTGTTTTCTTTCTCTAACTGAATGCGTCTATATTACCTCACAGATGATTTCTATTTTTGTTTCTAGCACCAAAAGTCGTTGCTACTTTAAGATTTATTTTGTTCCTTTTCCTGTTTCAGGTCCTCTTTTGACTTGTGTTTTCCACAAAAGTAGCCACGTTACTAACAGCCAAAAATATTTTAACTTGCTTAGTGTTTTCCATCCTCATTTTTTCCCTTTCTCCAAATTTAAATAAAGTATATATACAGGACTCTATTTTTGATTGCTCCATCTCATGGGAGTGGATAAGCCCTTTACAGCCACTGCATGTTGAATTATAAACCCTTGAAAGCTCCTTGTTTTCATTTTATATTTTCCCTGACTTTTGCCACGCGCCCTACCATTCCAGGGACATCATTAATGAGAAGTGAGGGTACGAACATCTCACCCCTTCCCTCTCCAGGCAATTAGAAATGACTTCTTTCCCGGGCACACCAAGCAGAATTTACTCACTTTTTTTGTTTGTCATGTGCATGGTGTGGCACACATACTGCAGCTGCTGCTGTTGCTACAGCCGAGAT